AAATAGAAAAATACAGTAAAAATAGGTCACCAAAAAGCATACTGAAGGGCTGCAGCAGAACCAGGAATGCAGCTCATTCATCCCAATTCTTCATTCCACATTAAGCCCTCATCCCTGCATAACCAAGCTCAGACCTCACAGCAGAGATGTGGCAGTTATTTCTTGTGCAACTTCTGCCCTCTGGACTTTGTCAAGTTTACTAAAATCTGATAAAATAAGTTACTGATAAACTTACTGATGTTAGACTTGTCACACATCTAACAAGCTACACAATAAGCAGCATTTCATCAAAAACTGCCAATAAGCACAACATTTCAGAGTGGAAAGCTATGTTGAGGGCTGGGACACTGGTGTGTGCGTGCAAAGAATTGTTGCCTTCCCCTGTCTTAGATGTTCTCCTGATGCCAAGCAACGTCAGGCCCCTGGCTGCAATCCACAAACAGGTTATTGTTTACAGAAGTTAACCTTCATGCCATGTCTCTCTGCTTCTACACTTGTATTTTTCCATCTTTATAAAGCCTGTAGAATTAAAAATTCTTAGAAAATGTCCTGGTAATAACCCTTTAGTACTTTAGCTATGAAAATCTACTATACTGACTGAACATCTTTTCACATCCAAATTGCAGAGAAGTCTTTATCTAATTAAAACTGGTATTTTTCTTTATTTTAATTCTATATACAACTGCTACAACAATGTATTTGTGAAAATGTTGAACATCTTAAATATTTTTACAGCAGTTAAGTTTTTAGACTGAAAAACATAACTATTTAAAATAAGAAAGGATTTTTAATTCCCAGGCATTGAATTATGCATCTAACCAAGCTTGTCCTGGACTGGGCTCAGCCTTCACTCTGTATCACCTGCACAGTCAGCATTTCCAGCTTCCCTACACAACACACTCGTCTCTAGCCAAGCACCTTTTTCTGAAGAATAATCATTCTTCTTCCTCTTTTTCCCCCATTCACTCCTTACCACTAATTCCAGAATTATTTTCCCTAAACTAACTTTTTGAACTATACCCCCTCCCCTAATTGGCCTGCAGTTTGCCATGGCAGCACAGCCCCACTCGTGCTTTGGGACTCCAGGTTCCCTGGGGGCTACTGGGGGAGGGAGTGCCAGGACTGGCCCCCACTCAGGGGTCCTGCTCTCACCTCAGCCCCAGGCCTGCCTGCCTGACCTGCAGAGACCTGCCAAAACCCTGCCAGCAAAACCTGCTCCCAAAATCACAGAATTGTTAGGGTTGGAAGGGTCCTCTGGAGATCATTCAGTCCAAGCCCCCCGCCAAGGCAGGCAGGTTACAAAGGAATGCATCCAGCTGGATTTGGAACGTCTCCAGAGAGGGACACTCTGCAGCCTCCCTGGGCAGCCTGTTCCAATCTCTGCCACTCTCAATAAAGAAACTCTTCCTCATGTTGGGCTGAAACTTCTTGTGTTCTAGTTTATGGCCACTGCTCCTTATCCTGTCACTGGATACCTCTGAAAAGAGCCTGGCACCATCTTCTCGGCACCTGCCTTTGAGGTATTTACGAGTGTTGATAAGATCCTCTCTCAGTCTTCTTTTCTCCAGACTAAACAGGCCAAGCTCCCCCAGTCTCCTCAGATGCTCCAGACCCCTCATCATCTCTGTGCCCCTCCGCTGACCCTCTCCAGTAGCTCCTTGTCTTTCTTGTACTGAGGAGTCCAGAACTGGACACAGCTCTCCAGACATGGCCTCACTAGGGCCGAGCAGAGGGGCAGGATCACCTCCCTCGACCTGCTGGCCACACTTTTCCTGATGCACCCCAGGAAAGCATTGGCTGCAAGGGCGCTGCCGGCTCATAGTCTACTCGTTATCCACCAAGACTCTCACATCTTTCTTAGCTAAGGCATTACCTGTAGGGACCCAGTGCAGGGGCCTTGGTAGTGCTGATTATTTTCTTCACGAGCGAGGCCATGGCTGGAGCCGGCGCTGAAGCTGCACTAAGTGCTGGGGCCGCCCCCCTGCGCTCCCTCCCCTTGGCGCCAGCCGGGGCACGGCCCGCCCACCACCGCCCGCGGGGGCCTCTGGGAAATGTAGTCCTTCAGGGCTGTGCTGTAGGAGTGCGCATGCGCAGTGCCGGGGCGTGGGTGTCCACGTGTGTCGGTGGAGGCCGCGCCGCGAGTGAGCGCCGCGTCGGGGCTGGTGCCGAGCTCCGCGGCTGCACCGCCCGCCGACCGCTGCCCGCCTCTTCCCGCTACAGAGGCTCCGCAACCCCGCCGGAGATGTCTGGGGCGCGGGAGAAGAAGCGAGCCAAGAAGATGAGGAACCAACCGGCCAGCGTCACGCTGCCCGCGGAGCCGGGGCCCTTCGCCGGCGGCGGGAGCAGAGCCTGCCCGACCCCAGGTACGGCTGTGGGAGCCTGTCTGAAGCCGTTCCAAACCCTCCCGGACGCGTTCCTGTGTAACCTGCTCTATGTGACCCTGCCTTGGCGGGGGGGCTGGGCTGGATGGTCTCCAGAGGCTCTTTCCAACCCAAACTATTCTGTACCCTGTGAATAGGCCCTTCTCTCTATCATCCCTGCGATTACAGGACGAATCCCTACGGTTCCTAGTCTAAAATGAATTTGGATGCTACAGCCCATCCGGTGTCTCCCCTGCTTTTCCGCGGGGCCGGGGAGCTGCGGGAGGGCCGTGTATCGCTGGTGCTGCGATGCTTGCGCTGCTGTTCCTCACATCTGCACGCCCGCCCCTTTGCCTCCTGCGCCTTGTGGCTCCTCTGTCTGTGAAGGTATTGGCAGGAGGCAGCGGGACGTGTCCCATAATAGCAGTGTCCTGTCCAGGTAACCTTTGCAGCAAGAGACTGAAAGAGCCTGTCAGCTTGTATGCTAGATGCTCTTTTTGTCCTTGTGATTTGACCTGCAATCCTCTATGCTTCTATCGGACCTCAGTTTCCACCACCACCTACATATTTAGATATTTTGTTACCTGCATTATTTCTGGGAAAAGCCCCACACATAAAAGGACTTGTTACTGTGAGGCCTTCAGAAGCTGACAAATTGCATCTTTGTCATTGAATGAAAAAAAAAACCCTGAAGTATCACTGTGTATTTAGGTGACCGAAGAGTTCCTATGCAGACAGAATGACATAGCAAATTATGCTTAGCTATGTCTGAAGATTTTGGAATGTCATTGCAGGAGTACTGCCAGATCAATACGTCTTTCTAACTGTATTTGTAGCAGGGAACTTCCAAGATTACATGGTTATGTTTTTTTGTTATGTTATAAGGTGTGGATTTTCATCCATGTAGCGTTCTTCTGTAGTGTCAGTATCACAGTTTTACAAAGCTGTTTTGTAGAAATAGGAGAGAAAATTGGAGGTCCAAAATGTAAATTGGAGTTACAAAACTGTGGATCTATACAGTAGCTAAGATAATATAAGGGTTTTTTAGTTATTAAGTCAGTGACTGTTTTGCCAAACAGTCTTTGGTCTTCTGATTACAATTTTTACTTCCTCCATTAAGAGGGTGTGTTTGTGATACGAGTTAATTTTAGGCTGTAGGCCTACACAGATTTGCTGAGACAGCTTCCATCCCTCTTTCCCAGCTATTTCCTTCTCACCTTCACCTCAGTGTCTGGATGATGCTGCTCTCAAGTATGTGGAAAACCAGGTCAGGGAATTGTTCCACGTAAAAGCTAATTTCTGTTTCTACACCAAATTATTTTTTCTGCAGTTTTACTGCAGTTCTGCATGATGTGTGGTTGCAGCAGGCTACAACACTACTGCTGCTGAACATGAAACTTCAGTTTCTTGCTTCTTTGAAATGGAAAAAGGGGATTCTTTGTCTTTTTAAGTTCTCATAAATTGAGATGCTGCTGGATGTGAATCTGCTCCTGGCTGGTCTTCATGCCAATGGTAGCATTTTTGGGATAGGCTTGGTTAAGAAGCTGATCAACTTGAAAACCGGATTTTTTAATCTCTCTTTCCATGTCTGTGGACACACAGGTTGATTTTCACTAGAGAAGATCCCTGAATGCTGTAGCCCCTTGTTCTCTCAAGCACTTGTCTTGATGTAGTGGATGGGGTCATAGGAGTGGCTGTCTGCAGCTTTTTTAGTTGGAATGTCCAGCATGAACTGCCTGAGAACCATATCTCAAGGGCTTAACTGAACATAAAGTAATCTAAACTAATATATAATATTTGTTAGGCTGAATATACAGTGGTCTTTGAATAAGGACTTCAAGGCTCTCTGAAACTTTAGGTACTTGCTAGGTGCTTAGCACTCCTGAAAGGTATGTCTGTACCTTAGGAAGCTTTACTGCAGGCTTTAGTTATTTAATTTCAGTATGGGTTTGCTTGTACCAGACAAGCAACTTACTGCACCAACATACACGTGTCATATTTACCTTAATTATTGCTGTGAAGGAAATATATGTCGGGCAAGAATACATTTGCTTATAAAAAAAAAAAAAAGTGGAAAAAATAACTTTGCTGGTTTGTTACTAAAGCTCTGACAAGACAATATTAAAAATCACTATGATGTTGCATGGACTGATTTCGATTTGACTCTTGGAGGCAAAGTCTGGATTGCTTGCCATTTTCAGAGCATGTAAAAGTTACTTAATCTATCACAAGTTTGCTTGAGGGCAGCATAAAATTCTTATTTATTC